TCACCGACACTCACGGCAAATATCTACTGCGCATCAGATCTCAACTTGCAGATATTTTTTCCTGTTATTTACTTATTTATATATTTTAATCTCTTCATAATTTAACTGCTATATAATAACCCCTTACAAATATCAAATGGGGTTTTTAAAATTCTATTATAATGAATATCATAAAATTGTGTTTTCATGAAGAATAATACTTTGGGTACTAATGGATGAGTACTAATATGTGTACTAACTAAAGCATAGTACCCGTACTATGCGCATAGTACGGGTACTATGCTTTAGTTAGTACACATATTAGTACTCATCCATTAGTACCCAAAGTATTATTCTTCATGAAAACACAATTTTATGATATTCATTATAATAGAATTTTAAAAACCCCATTTGATATTTGTAAGGGGTTATTATATAGCAGTTAAATTATGAAGAGATTAAAATATATAAATAAGTAAATAACAGGAAAAAATATCTGCAAGTTGAGATCTGATGCGCAGTAGATATTTGCCGTGAGTGTCGGTGAGGGCCTTTTTCATGATAATTATTGACGGCGAGATTTGGATAGGTGTATTTCCAGTCTTGATAATGACTTTTGATTTCAATTGCAACCTTTCCTCGTTTTGTATAATTATATTTTTAATAGAGCTCTCTATTTTAAAGATAATTTTTTCTATAAATAAAAAATATATTTATTAAATTTTAAATATAAATAACAAAATTTGTATTCAAATCTCATAAATATTTTAAATTTTATGAGAGATAATATATTTTTTCAAGAAATAAAAGAGAGATAAATCATAAATAAACTTGCAATTTATTATTTAAAATTAAGATAGAGAATGAAATTTGACTCTCAAAATATAAAAAGTCAAACTCACTTTTTAATTTATATTTAAAGAATAAAGAGTCGATTGGACTCTTATTTCTATAGATAAACTTTTTTATATTAAAGAGTTTAGGTCATATAAAAAATCTTATAGAGATGCTCTTACCTTCAGTAGGAGAATAACAATTTCATCCTTTAGGTTTGGCTTAATTAACTTTTAGTCTTCTAGAATTGTTTAGTAAGGTTTTGGTTCAAGTTAGTAACATTTTGGTCCCTGAGATTCACTAAGGATGGGGGTGATCAGTTCCGGATACCTTACATCTTTTAATAGAATTAGAATCGAAACTTCTGGTTCAGGGTATTTGGGTAAATTTTAATTACCCCTACTTTTTTTTAAATGACAAATATACCCCCAACAAGTAAAAATGCACTCCCAATAGTTTATAAAAATTACAATTTAGCCCTAATTCCTACTTGGGTACCTAAACCTCAGTTTCGGTTCTCGGTTCCAACATTGTAAGAACTAGGATCGGACCCGAGAATTCCCAATTCTAATTTTCCAGAACCAAAATGGGACCCTAATGGGACCGATTTTGAATATGGTTCTACGCTTTACCTAGGCACGGCAATGCTTCCCAGAATTCCAAAGACCCATCCCATATAGGGCGAGGAAGCCTCGGTTTTTCGGGGGATATGGGCGGGGGTGAGGGGCGTTTTAATCCCTGTCCCCGGGGATAGGGCCGGGGTGGGTGATGCCTTTCCCTCGCCCCGTATATAATATATAAAGTTATATATATATATTTACTTTTCCCTAATACCCTTATATTTCACCTAATTACACAATTATCTTACCTATATAAACTCATATTATGTTTTCATTAGAAGAATCCAGGGAAATGCTCAAATTTATGTTTATGTAAAATTAAATATGTTTAAACGATTAATTTAAGTTTTTATCATGTGGACGAGAATTAACTATTGTGTTTGGTAATGTTCAAATTAATTTATGTTTATGTAAAATTAACAGGGTGGGAACAGGCTTCTAACATTCCCCATGGGGCGGGGAATGGGAATTCCTACCATCCCCGTAATGGGGATAGGGCGGGGGTGGGGAGTGATTTTGAGGGCAGGGAGGGGTATGGGAATGAGATCCTCGCCCTGCCCTACCCCATTGCCATGCCTACCTTTACCCATGCTCACCCCTAGATGATGGGGATCAAAACATTACTTAAAACTTCCACAAGACTAAAGGTTAATCAACCCAAACTTAAGGGATGAAATTATGATTTTCCCTAAGCTTTAGTTAGAGACTCGTTGAAGAGGTCTTAAAATTTACAAACACAACCCCGTAAGCGCATATGTATATACAGTAAAGTCTCTCTATAGTCATAATGTTGGGACTAACTAATTTTATTACTATAAAGAGGTTATAATTTAATAGAGGTGTAATTACAAAAATTATTCTTTTTGATTTCTTATTTTATAATTTANATTGGATTCTTATTTCTATAGATAAATTCTTTATAATAAAGAGTTTAGATCATATAAATAATCTTTTGGAGATGCTCTTACCTTAAGTAGGAGAGTAACAATTTCGTCCTTTAGGTTTGGCTTAATTAACTTTTAGTCTTCTAGAATTGTTTAATAAGGTTTTGGTTCACGTTAGTAACATTTTGGTCCCTAAGATTCACTAATGATGGGGTTGATCAGTTTCGGATACCTTACATCTTTTAATAGAACTAGAATCGAAACTTCTGGTTCAGGGTATTTGGGTAAATTTTAATTACCCCAACTTTTTAAAAAATGACAAATATACCCCCAACAAATAAAAATACACTCCCAATAGTTTATAAAAATTATAATTTAGTCCTAATTCCTACTTGGGTACCTAGACCTCAGTTTCGGTTCTCGGTTCCAACATTGTAGGAACCAGGATCGAACCCGAGAATTCCCAGTTCTAATTTTCCAGAACCAAAATGGGACCCTAATGGGGCCGATTTTGATTATGGTTCTACCCTTTACCTAATGCTTCTCGGAATTCCAAAGACCCATTCCATATGGGGCGAGGAAGCCTCGGTTTTTTGGGGGATATGGGCGGGGGTGAGGGGGGTTTTAATCCCTGTCCCCGGGGATGGGGCAGGGGTGGGTGAAGTCTTTCCCTCGCCTCGTATATAATATATAAAGTTATATTTATATTTACTTTTCACTAATACTCCTATATTTCACCTAATTACACAATTACCTTATCAATATAAACTTATATTATGTTTTCATAAGAAGAATCCAGGGAAATGCTCAAATTTATGTTTATGTAAAATTAAATATGTTTAAACGATTAAGTTAAGTTTTTATCATGTGGATGAGAATTAACTATTGTGTTTGGTAATGTTCAAATTAATTTATATTTATGTAAAATTAACAGGACAAAAGCAGGCTTCTAACATTCCCCATGGGGCGGGGAACAGGTATTCCTACCATCCCCATAATGGGGATAGGGCGGGGGTGGGGAGTGATTTTGAGGGCAGGGAGGGGTATCGTGAATGAGATCCTCGCCCCGCCCTACCCCATTACCCATGCTCACCCCTAGATGATGGGGATCAAACATTACTTAAAACTTCCACAAGACTACAGGTTAATCAACCCAAACTTAAGGGATGAAATTGTGATTTTCCCTAAGCTTTAGTTTAGAGACTCGTTGAAGAGGTCTCAAAATTTACAAACACAACCCCGTAAGCGCATGTGTATATATTTATAAGCAATGCTAGTTTTATAAAGACAAATACAAAGGGAACATATAAAGACAATTGCATCCCTTGATTTTCATAATCTCTCTCTCTCTCTCTTTTTTCATTTTTTCCTTATTTTTTTCTTCTCGCTGATATCACTTTGTAACCCTCTTTGTATAGGTCTTTGTAAGGATAGCATTTTTCTATATTTATTAGGTGACGTTGTTTTCACTTTTCATGATCGATATATAGATAGTGATAACCTAACTGTTTATGTATTTGGAATTGGGAACACTAAACTAATTGTATGAATGCTATATATGGTAGCTGTTGCATAATTTATATCTTCTATTAAATTCTCCATCTCTCCATAATTATTTTTATTAATTTCCTTTGCCGACTCCTGGAGCTGGGATTATTATTATTTTTTAATTCGATTGCATTAAATATTAATACACTGAAGTTATACATATTTACTATACTCTTATTTATCATTTAAGTTTACTTTTTTCAATTAATTACAAAGATTATAGAAAAATTAATACATAAAATTAAAAACTCATCAGTAAATTAAAATGGCCGAAAGTACATAACTGAATTATATCAATTATCATCCATTTAAAGAAATTTTTATTGTTATATATTTGATTATACTCTTGATCGTAATTAGTGATTAATGAAAAATTAAAAAAAAAAATCAATTTTAACAGTGCATTTTTGTTTATATTAAAGGAATAAGTACTCTGCATATTTAGATGGAATTAGAATCCGAATTCTTCTTAGCTTTTGAAGATATAATGATACAATAGAAATTTCTTTTGAATTTGAATCCTCTCTGCATCATTCTCCTAACTCTTAGAATCTTGTGACACGTTTCGTTTTTTTTTTTTTTTTTTTTTTTTTTTTTTAACCAGGCTTCAGCTAATTTACGTATCTAACTATTTTAAAGAGAATAGCGCAGCAATTCACTACTACCCCCTCACTTAAATCTTAGAATAGGATTCAACCTGACTGGGGGACAAATTTAGTTTATTTATGAGTAAGACTATCTTTATGTTATATTCTTATTTTATAACTATCAATCACAAACCGGATAAAAGCTGGATCTTCTAAATAAGCGTCCTTTTTTTGGCATTAAATTACATGCACAAAAGTCTTCAGCAAAGTGAGGGATCTCGAAAATTATCCCTATATACAAAACATCAATTAATATGGGCTTTGTTTCACTATTATATCGCTATCATATTCCACTATTCTATCCTTATAACAAAAAAAAAAAAAAAAAAATGCATAAACCTGAAAAAAGCTACGATATCATCAAAACTGTTACTTTTACCAAATTTAACCCCCAATTCCAATTTTCACTCCATATTTTTTTTTCACCGGAACAAGTTGCAGATAGATAGGCTTCACTCTCACACAGTTTTCACACGCTTACCTTTTGTCAAGTGTCTCTCCTTTCCACGCCCATAATTACTAAAAGCGTAGCCTAACTCCGAGATCTACTAATTCCTCTTCTGTGTCTCTTCCTATAAACATTAAACAACAACACGCTATCTCACTTAGATCTCACGTTCCCAGTTCCTTATTCCACTGTAACCCAGTAAGCTTCTACTCTTCTACGCTTCTTTCTTGTGTTTTCTCTCTGGGTTTTACTTTAAAGTTCGAGTCTTTAATGGGATCTGATTGAGTTTGCTTTCTGGGGTCTGGTCTTAGTTTTATTGAATTGTTTTTTAAATGTGATTGAGATTTGAACTTAATGATTTAATTTGGTTTCTTGCGTTCGAGTGTTTTATTTTTTGTGTTGGTTACTAGAATGTGTGAACTTGATGTGGTCTGGATTGTGTTTAAGTTGCTATTTTTGTTTCTTGATTTAGATCTGTGAGATTTGAGTTCTTTGAGTGAGTTGTGTAGCTGTCATTTTCTTCTTTCCTTCATGACAACTCATAACAATTGGAGATCGGTTATTATTAGTTGTAAAGTTAAATGTTTCAATTTCTTTTTCTTTTGGATCAGTCCTATTCATTGCTTGGTTGTTAATTGGCAGGTCACTTCCAAGTGGTTAATATCATTCAATATTATTGCCTTTTCCTTTCTTCAATTATGTAAATTGAAATTCGAAGTATTTGGTTTTCATTACGAACATGATTCAATTCTTGTGAAACAAGCTTGCATATTGCAGTTGAACCCATTATAACGATTTGTCCCAAAGCTTAGATGCTTCTTTACTTTAGTCATTAGTCATCCTTATTAAGTTGCAATGATTTCACTTATTCAATTGTGTTTGATCTCCGCATATGAATTGATCAGACTGGAAATGAGTAGGGTAAGAATGTTCAATTTTGTCCCTGTGGTTGGATTAAGCTACCCTTTTTCATTAGTATTTGATTGCTGGGTCATGACTTTGTTTAATAGATGATTTCAAGAACAATCATGTGATGTCTTACTCTTCAATATTTTAATGGTTTCGGGATCTATTGGTTTCAAGTATTTGGACTTCTTGTTCACTACTTTAGCTACCTTCTGTTAGTAATATGCTCTGCCAAATATAATGATTTTTTTTTTTCTTTTGGTAATTTTACAGGTTGACCAGTGTATCTCTTGTGGCCCAAACTGACAAAGTTTAAAGAATTTGTACTACCTTTTTTTCTTGATATCAACGGCCTTGGGTGGTAGAGGGTTGGATAGTGTTTGACCCTCAAGATATTTGTATGATGAGATCCGCATTCTGATCTCTTAGTTCTTTGACAGAAGTTGAAGACATTACTTTGACCATTTCAAATCTAAATACAAGATGAGGGGAAGATCTGATGGAAGCCAAAAGAAGCGTTTGATTACCTCTGTGATTGGTGTCGCAGTCTTTCTTGGTTTTTTGTATGCATATTATGGATCCATTTTTGGCTCTTCAAACCATGCTGCATCGGCTTTAGAATATGGGAAATCTTTGAGAAAACTAGGGTCTTCTTACTTGGGTGGGGATGAGGATACTGATGGAAAGCAAGACGAATCTTCAAAATTTGGACTAGAAGATGGAGATGATGATGTTTTACCCAAGAGTTTCCCTGTAAGTATCATACTGCTAAGCCCATCAACTCCTCTGGTTACTGCCTCCTTTTCTGTTGTTTAACCATAACTGTGTTTTCCCTTCAAATTGGAAGCTTTATCTGTTTCTATTTGATTCGTGTGATGGTCTCTTTTACCTTTTTCCTTTTTTCATATTTTGAAGGTTTGTGATGATCGGCATTCAGAACTAATTCCCTGCTTAGACAGGAATCTCATATATCAAATGAGATTAAAGCTGGACTTGTCATTGATGGAGCACTATGAACGTCATTGCCCACCTCCTGAGAGGCGATACAACTGCTTGATTCCTCCTCCACCTGGATACAAGGTAAGAACTTGTTGAAACTGATTATTAGAAATGCACTGAATTATTATTGTTGTCTTATCAAGATTAATTTGGCTCATCCTAGTCTTCTTTGTTGTGATAAATAAAGAATGAGTTTTGCTTATTATCATGTATTAACTGATTTTTCTTCCTTTGATGTTGCAGATCCCAGTTAAGTGGCCCAAAAGCAGAGATGAAGTATGGAAAGCAAACATTCCTCATACTCACCTTGCACATGAGAAGTCTGATCAGAATTGGATGGTTGTAAAAGGTGAAAAGATTAAATTCCCTGGGGGAGGCACTCATTTCCACTATGGAGCTGATAAGTATATTGCTTCAATTGCAAATGTAAGCCTGCTGACTCATGTTGACAGATACGAAAAAGAAAAGAACCGAGACCCTATTCCTTCATCTTATTTCCCCTTTTTAACAAGTAATGTTACCTTTACAAAGTAGTGTTTTAAGTTTTGTATCCCAATTTGATGTGGCTACCAACATGGCACTGCATGTCATTTGCCTTACCTCCTCTTTTTTGTCCTATAAAAAGTCTGTTTTATTAGTACTTATGAATATATATTTTGTTGGAACAAATGAGAAATATAAAAATAGATCAATTGTCATAATATTTTTCATCGTCTTGTATGCTTCTCATTGTTGTGCTTTAGTTTTAGATATACTTTTTATCTATTATGGAATTTGTGGTTCTCTCATACATAGTTGTTCTTGGAGATTCTTTTACTGCATGGATGAAGCAATAAACAAATATCTGGTTTGAATTGGCAGATGCTCAACTTTACAAACAACAAAATAAACAATGGGGGAAAATTACGAACAGTTCTTGATGTTGGATGTGGTGTTGCAAGTTTTGGAGCTTATCTTCTTTCATCTGATGTCATAGCAATGTCCTTAGCGCCCAATGATGTGCATCAAAACCAAATCCAGTTTGCCCTAGAGAGGGGCATTCCTGCATATCTTGGAGTTCTAGGAACTAAGAGGCTTCCTTACCCAAGCAGATCTTTTGAACTTGCTCACTGTTCTCGTTGTAGGATTGACTGGCTTCAAAGGGATGGAATTCTTCTTCTTGAGCTAGATAGGTTGCTCAGACCAGGAGGCTATTTTGCCTACTCATCTCCTGAAGCTTATGCACAGGATGAAGAGGATCGCAGGATATGGAAAGAGATGAGTGCCCTTGTGGAACGCATGTGTTGGAGAATAGCTGCAAAGAGGAATCAAACTGTTATTTGGCAAAAACCTCTAACAAATGACTGCTATATGGATAGAGCTCCTGGTACAAATCCCCCTCTCTGTCGCTCTGATGATGATCCAGATGCAGTATGGGGCGTGCCAATGGAAGCTTGCATCACACCGTACTCTGACCGTGAGCATCTTTTTCTTCTCTGCTGCTTTGTCATTTTTTTTTTTTTTTTGTTGTTGTTCTATTCCACAAATTTCTTTCTTGTGACGTGAAATTTTCTTGTTGGAGTTTAGTTTTTAGTTGACATGTACGTCCTAAAGATTATTTTTTTGCTGAAAAGACAATTTTAGATCTTGAAATTGAATTGAGGACTTGGTTGGAAAAATAAGCATGTACCTATGAAGAAGGGAATGCATATCCATAGTTTCTAGGTTTTTGTTGTTCAGGTTAATGATTTGTGTATATATATATATATAATCTTGATCAAGCCCTGTGAACCTTGCTTGTCACACAAGAACGGTATACTGCTGTAGAAGTATCCATTTGAGTTATATATTCTCATTATGTTAGCTGATTGTTGTCATTTATTTTATATTTAAATGTTTGGCAGCTTTGTAGATTTGCTGTGCATTAGAAACCATTGGATGCAAATTGGCAATTGCATCAGATTTTAGTAGTTGGTATTCTATCAAAGTGATCTTATTAATCCGTAATCGTCTTTGAGTTTTCTCTTCAAGGAAATTTTACATTTTTTGTTTGTGTTCTGTAGCATGCTTCTTGCATGTTTTGCTCTTCTCTTGGTATAGATAGATTTTGAGTTGTAAAATTGTGCTTACAAGTGACCTGTACCAAAAGCTACAGCACCTGGAAATTAGATATTTTCTATTTTGTCTTTAACTGATATACAATGCACTGAGAAATTTATTGTTAACATGCTTCCAATTGAAAGATACAAGGTTTGGGCTTGAAGTTATTTGCTTACTAGAAGTGTTGTTGGTTTCTACCAGATGACCAGAAGGCTAAAGGGAGTGGATTGGCTCCTTGGCCGGCTAGAGTGACTGTCCCTCCTCCTCGACTTGCTGATTTTGGCTATTCTAGTGACATGTATGAGAAAGAAACGGTAATAAAGGAAGCTTCTTTCATCTACATACTTTTGTTACTGTTTGCCTGTGTATGTATTGGAAGTGCTATGTAGTGATTACATGCAAACAGGTACCTGAACTTTGGTTTTGCTGGTGTTCTGCAGGAAATTTGGCGACGAAGAGTGGAGAGTTATTGGAACCTCTTGAGTCCAAAGATTGAATCAGATACTCTGAGGAACGTGATGGATATGAAAGCAAACTTAGGGTCTTTTGCAGCTGCCCTGAAGGACAAGGATGTTTGGGTGATGAATGTTGTCCCTGAGGATGGACCAAACACACTCAAGTTGATATACGACAGAGGCTTGATCGGCTCTATTCACAACTGGTATGCACAAATTTACCTACTTTGATGTAACCGAGTGTGTTCATATTTAAGTTTGAAGTATGTAATTTAATATTTTTTCCTATTAGCCCTCAGATAGGTAAATGAAGTAGATTGATTTGGTGAAATAGACCTCTAATTGAACCAACCTATTTGACATAAATTAATTTGACCTTTGTTTTTCATTTGTCTTCACGATTACCCCCAAGAATTCTCTCCAAAGGTGTTAGGAAATATTGAAACTTAGAATGAAGTTCATTTATGTTAAATTTTCTTTATTTGTGATTATCTAGATCAACTATTTTTTCAGGTGTGAAGCGTTTTCCACATACCCCCGGACATATGATTTACTTCATGCTTGGACTGTTTTCTCCGATATTGAGAAAAAGGGCTGCAGTGGCGAGGATCTTCTGCTTGAGATGGATCGCATCCTAAGGCCTAGTGGTTTCATTATCATCCGTGACAAACAATCAGTAGTAGATTTCCTAAAGAAGTATTTGACAGCTTTACACTGGGAAGCAGTGGCAACTGCTGATGCAAGTTCAGATTCAGAGCAGGACGGGGATGAAACTGTTTTTATTATCCAAAAGAAGTTGTGGCTGACAAGCGAAAGCCTGAGGGATGCTGAATAGAAGAATACATAAGGCTTGTACGTTTCCGGTTTCTCTCTATATTCTCTGCAGCTCCGAGGGATTAAGAAGCACATCCCAAGTAGTGATGCAGTAAAACAATTTCATTTTGTAGCATTAAGTGATGTTTACATTAATTTTTTTCCTTGTAACAATGATTTTAGTTGATAAACCACGAACACTATCAACATCTATAGGCTATTCTTCAAATTTTTTTTTGTCCTATCCATTTTAAGCATTACCAAGGATACTTCTGCAGATGTTTAATAATCAAAAGGCATTACGTATGCTGCTGAAATACCTAAATTGTGTCCTTTAAAACTTCCCAAGTTATTTATAAATGAATCTTTTCATTAAGAGTAATTTATGTGTAGCACTTCCTTCTGCTTCCTAGTTATCAAGTTTGGTTCATGTTACCAAAGTTGCTTTTTTTTTTTTTTTTTTTTTTTTCAAGTCTTTATGAGAAATAAGATAATGGATGACTAAAAATAAAAGTTAAAATAATTAGTGTGAAAATTATATTGAATTGTCATTGTAGTGTTTTAAAACCTACCTAGCTCGGCGGGAGCCAGGGCCTTCACTGGGTCGGGTTACCTATTTAACTGTTCATGGCAAACCCTAGAGAAGATGACGACGACCCGCAAGCAATTGGGGGTTGGGATGTTGGGGGAGAGGAAAGGTTGATGAGTCGAAAGATGGCGATGGAGGTAATTTCCGGTGAGTGAAATGACTAAACATTGTAAAAATCGTGTGATTTTTGTCGACGATTGGTAAGGCGAACGGGGGTGGGTTGAGATGGGTTTTGGTCAGGAGACTAAGGGGAGAGTTTTCATGGTGATGGAGAGTGTTTTCATTCGACGGAAACATGCCTATTTGGCAGGGGTTATCGACACTGATGGTGTTTTTTTTTTTTTTTTTTTGGAAATTGGTCAATTTCGGCCAGATCTAGGATCGATTTGTTGGGGAATAGAGTGGGATTTCCATTTGGTGCGTCACCGTCGCTAGCCAGTTGATCGTCGGTTGCATTTGGCTAAATCGCAGGGGTGTGTTTGCTGGATTGTAAACCTGTAAGGAGTGATGAGATATTTTCAAAGGCGTGGTTGCTAGATTTGAAACCTCTGGACAGGCTGATGTCATTGGTTTGACCGTTGGGTCAAACTGGTTTAATCGGTTCAACCGAGACCTAACCATTTTGTCGGGTTTCACCCTGGGTGGGTTTTTAAAAACACGGTTATTTTTCAAAAGAGTTTTCATGAATAGTTTGTAAATATAATATTGCTTTTACAAATGTTATATATATATTTTAGTTTTTCAAGATGAATAACAATTTGATATTGGTCCTACCAAGTTAGTTAACTGGAGATGGTATTGTGTAAAAATATGAGAAAAATTTAGAGTTTAATATCAATATTTTATCCTTTTAAGAGTTAGCATTTCTTCTTCTACAATTCTATCTGGACCATCTCTTTTTAATTTTATTTTCATTAGTAATAGGGTTCTTTTCAATATTTAATCGTTTAATTACATCAAACCAAAATTTGTTTTTGGAGTTGTTTCTTTATGAGGGAAACCTAGCACACAAATTTATTAATCTTTCATTGATTTGGTTACATTAAGACTCTATGATATAATGTGTTATATGGCAAATTCAACACGCATGAAAGCTTGACACGTGTCCCATGATTATGAGATGTTTGGGTCACGTGTTATATCATGAAACAATGGTTTTCCCTATATAAGAGTGTCATGGGCTGCTCCAACAGCAAGATTCACTGTAGCTTCTTTTGCATGACTGCTTTAATAATAGAATAATACTACACATACATCATTCCCATACAATATTTCTCATACAATATTATGTGGCAAGATATGATTGGATGAAAGTTTAATTTTAACTTTAAATTAGCTAATCATATCTTGTCACATAATGTTGTATGTAAAATGTTGTATGAAAATGATGTATGTGTAGTATTACTCTTAATAATAAGATCCATAAACTGAGTCACCATACAAGTCGCGTGGCAACTTATAAGAGGACTACTTCACTATTAAGTCTCCAATCAAAGCGGTTTGTCAAGACACGTGACAGACGACCAAAAGGTTAATTCTTGGATAGGATCATCCATGCAAAACTATAAATAGGGATCTCTCATCTCAAATCAAGTATCTAATTTTTCTCTTCTTAATAGATATAGAGCAATTATCTCTCCTTAGAGCAAACATCTTTTGTAAACATATCAATAAGATAAAAATGGAAGTAGGATTTGCATCTTACACACTTTAAAAACTACTTGTGTCTTTACTTTTGTTTACTTTTCACACATTGTTTTCAATATCTTTTACGAGTTTAGCATCATATTTCATGGTCTCACACAGATCCTTTGAGCGAACTCTCCCAGAAGGCTCGCGTACTTCTAGTTGGTATAAAGTATCGCAACAACAATATGTACATTAAAAAACTTGTTATAAAGATAAAAGGTGCATTTATCTAGACAAGAAATCCACTCATATTGAGATTAAATCTAGCAAGAATTGATTATTGTTTTAACTTATTGAAATATTGGAAGTTGGAAGATAGCATGGGCTTTAATCTTTACCTTAGTTATTGCCTTTTATAATTGTGGCTGTCCTTCAAGTTCAAGGCAACATATCCACTAAAATTAATACATCAAACCACAACAACCCATATGCATCTCTCATCATCCCTTTTGCCATCAATTCCCCATTTTGAAAAACATTTTTCTAAAAACAAAATAAATTATTTTCACGTTCATGATCCTCTTATGCCAACATGTATGATGATGCTTACTTGCATTTTCCCCTTTGAAAAGGGGCATATTGGACCCAGAAAATCCTTTGTCTTTAGAAACACATCCATGTTTCTCTTGTTCTTCCTTTTTGTTTTCTTGTATATGCCTTATTTATTCTCTTCTGTTGTGGCCACCATTACCAACATCTTATGGCATTTGGCATATATATATATAAACCCTTAAAAATATCGAACACCCTCTTATAAAATTATCAAAAACTCTGAATAAGTTTCATTCTAATTGATCTCATAGGAAGAAAATAAAGTAAACCTAAACTATAAAGGGAGAACGACTTATACATACCCAAGATTTATCGTAACGACAAGTTGGTACCCAAAAGGTTTTGAAATGACAAATAGGTACTTTCCGTCATGTTCTGTTAGTGATTTCTGTTTATTACTGTTTATTAATAGTGAAAAGACTAAAATACCCTTAAAAGTTTGAATTTTAGTTTTTTNAATTATTTTCACGTTCATGATCCTCTTATGCCAACATGTATGATGATGCTTACTTGCATTTTCCCCTTTGAAAAGGGGCATATTGGACCCAGAAAATCCTTTGTCTTTAGAAACACATCCATGTTTCTCTTGTTCTTCCTTTTTGTTTTCTTGTAAATGCCTTATTTATTCTCTTCTGTTGTGGCCACCATTACCAACATCTTATGGCATTTGGCATATATATATAAACCCTTAAAAATATCGAAAACCCTCTTGTAAAATTATCAAAAACCCTGAATAAGTTTCATTCTAACTGATCTCATAGGAAGAAAATAAAATAAACCTAAACTATAAATAATGTAAGTTGGGATCCTCCCATACTACTATTATGTGTATTTGTTAAATATAAATACCCATTTGAGTTTATAAGTATGTGACGTTAGTAAAACAAACAAGATAATATTTAGAATTAATAATTGAACAAAAGAATTGGTCTTTGGTCAACTTAATTTATGCTCACTATTTTATTTTACCTTTGTTTTGCTGTCAATTAAGTTCATACACCATAATCATGGTTCCTTGATTTATGGTACCTTTTTAATAGTAAATTTGTTTCACGTTCATTCTAATAATAGGTAGGGCCTAAATTAAGGGATCAAACCCAACTTTCAGCCCATTATACTTTGACTTGCTTCTTTCTTACACGATAAGATTTCAATTCATCTTCTTTATAAATATAAATGTTGTCAACACTCTCTTATTCTTTTTTCACTTTTTTTTTTTTTGTTTAATCGTGGAATCAAATTCAACCCAAATTGGTATTATATTAGGATATGAGTTTTTCTAATACGTTTATATGTAGGATTGTTTTTCTTTAGAAATATAATTGTATTATGAATTAAAATAAAAAATTTAGGTCAAATTAGAAATAGTATCTCATATATTATCTATGAAATAAGGTTAAATCTTAAAGTTAGGTAATTAAATATAATAGAAGACAATACCACAATCAGAGAGTGAGAGTCATCAAATAAATATTTTGGTGAAAGAGCCAATTTGCGATAAATCTTTTTCTTTATAATAAAATTCCACAGCAACAAAGTGGACGTAGTTCTCATACAGAGAGTAAACCACTATAATTCTTGTGTTTGTATATGTAGTTAACTACATAGAAATTTAGGATTTGTTAGCATTCGATAAAATCCCTATAACATATTTACATGTAAGCAAAAGACAAAATCAACAATTTTTCAATTATTTTTTTCTTTTTTCTTTTATTTATATACTAGCAAGAGAATGAAAAAAAAAAAAAAGTGAAAAAGAAATAGCTACTAGCATCTTGATGAAGAAGCCAAATCCATTCATATTTATACCTGGAATAACCAAATATCGTCGAGGGATATTGCACTGAACAAGAAGTTTTAATGAGATAGTAAAGGCAAAGGTAATGATGTATTAGTTGACAAGTAAAATAATAAGGTGGGGTACTATTTCATATTAAAGTCTATAGCTTTCACACTCTCTTTCTTTATTTTGAAATTGATACTCCATACCAATTCAACATGGTCCCCTTTGATGTCCTACTTCTAAGCCAACCCAAAACCCCACTCCAACTTCCCTTTCTTCTGGGGTTTGCTTTTCCAACTCTCCCTAAACCACATCTCTTCCTAGACATGCTTAATTTTATGTATGTTAATGTTTCCCTTTGGAACATATACGCAATATTTACTTTCATCTTAAACTTCTTTATTTATTT